TTTGTGTCCCGTGGGAGATTTCGTTAACTATGCGCCTCCTCAAGAAAATTTGGATAATTTGAAAGAAGACGATTTGTTAGATGGAAATACGGATAGGTTAACAGATCCGGGTTTTGATGAAGCGGTTGCGAGTTATTGCTTCTATGCTAAGAAAAATTACGTAAAAGGAGATCAGGTATTGCTTCTACCTTCTTTCTTTTAGTTGTTTAATTAATTAACCGTGTTGGCCCGTGTGCGTAAAAAGTGATCGTTTTTTGTTTTGACTTCGTTTTAGTTGCTTAAGGTGTTGGTATTTATCTTGTTATGTGTAGGTTCTTCTAAGCTATGGTACATACACAAATTTAGAGCTTCTAGAATACTACGGGTTTCTTCTTCAAGAAAACCCAAACGACAAGGCTTTCATTCCCTTGGAATCCGAAATGTACTCCCTTTGCTCTTGGCCGAGAGATTCACTATACATTTCCAAAAATGGGAAACCATCCTTTGCATTAATCTCCACCGTCCGTTTGTGGGCCACCCCCGAGAGAAATCGAAGGTCGGTTAAGCACATTGCATTTTCAGGACAACTTATCTCGAACGAGAACGAGGTTGCTGCAATGGAATGGATAGCAAATAAATGCCGGGATTTGTTGACCGGTTTTCCGAGCTCGATCGAAGAAGATGCTTTAGTGCTTTGTATGATCGACGAAATCGAAAATTGTAGTGGAGATAGAGAGTTGGCGATTCGTACTTTATTAGAGAGGAATAGTGTAAAGGCAACAAGATCTGATATTTGTAGGTTGAAATTGGCAGTTGAGTGGAGACATAGGTACAAGAATATTTTGTCTGATTGTATATTGTATTGTAGTTGTACTAGGATGTTGGATAATCCTTCTTGTTGATGATATATCGTTCGATCGTATTCTTGTCGATTTGCTGTTTGTTTGTTCGAAAAGCGTATCCGATAGTTGGGGCGAAATTCATGGCACTTCACATCATATTAGATTCACATGATTGTTTGTGTAAAAGTTGATAATGGTTATTTTGCTTAGTTATTTATTTATGAGGACAAATAAGACTTGTGGCTAAATAGAACTTAGTACTTAGTAGATTAATCCCTCATTCGTAGGGATTTTTTTGTAGGTGAGTCTCGTAAATATTATTTTGCTAGAACGCTACTTGTGGCTAATTAGATGAGGATTCATGGAGCAACGATGGGTGGTGTTGTTATTATTGAGAAAATTCTCAGATCAATGAATATTGGCTCAAGTGTGGAACAATATGAACTTGTTCGGAGATATGTTGAAGAAATAAGAAATTGTAGCCCTAACACCACAGATAGAATCAAGACCAATGATGATTGAGGCAATCTGAAGTTTAAAAGAATCTACTTGTGTTGGGGAGCTTAGAAACAAGGCTTTCTTGAGGAATGTCGACCCATCTTTTTCCTTCATAGTTGCCACTTAAAGTAAGTTTATAGGGGATTTTACTATCTGATATAGGGATAGAAGCCAATAATGGTACTGATCCATTTGCATGTGCAGTTGTTGAGAAAGAGAATAGAGATTCATGAGTGTGGTTTATGAATTCGCTGAAAACAAATTTGAACATAGTAAATTATGGCATATGAACTATTATGAGTGACAAACAGAAGGATTGGTTGATGCAGTTGAGACGGTGATGCCTAATTTTGAGCACATATTTTGTATGATGCATTTGTACTGCAACTTCAATTCTCACACACACGATTGACTCAAAAAATTTGAGCACATATTTTGTATGATGCATTTGTACTGCAACTTCAATTCTCACACACATGATTGACTCAAAAAAAATATCGTCAAGCTGCAAGGGCTTCAAGCATGTAGATTTTGAAAGAATGTTGAGCTGCAAAAAGATAAAATTATCTTTCATTGGCTTGCTAAAAGGCCAACAACACACTAGTCTATCGTCATTTTTAATTGCAATTCCAAATGTGACACTCTTCTTAGTAACTTGTCCGAGAGCTTCAAACCCGACCTGCCCGCAAACCGCAAATTTTGCTTATTAAATTATCACTAGCAATTTGGTAAATGAACACCTGAATAAATAGTATGGGTCGGGTACCGGGTTTGAGAGTTACAACTTGCACCCGCACGCACCAATCACATATTTCCCTACAAGTTCAACAACAAAAAATCACACTATTTCTTATATCTCCATATACTCCACCCACAGCTTCCTTCCACCAACATTTTTTCAATTGATCTTGTGAACATGACACTAAATTTATCAATTACCATAAAAACAAACATTTTTATGCTCAAGACTATAAATTCATTTCAAACCGTTTGGAAGTTCATCAATGCAAGATTAGTTTACCAAATTTTTATAACCTTCTTGCTAAATTCACTACTTACGTGACAGTTTACCTCAATCAAAAATTGATATTGCTGATTTAAGTACTTCTGTCACAAAATTTCCCAATCAAATTCTACTACTGTTGCAGAATATAGTTCATAACAATATAACCAAAAACAATAAAAATAACCTTAACAACAATGTAACAATAACAACATCGCCATAACAAAATAAGCTCAATTCAACTGAATTTCATTAATTCAACTAGATAAAAAAATAGTCATTACAACAAAATGGAGTAATTCTGATTACACATTAAAATAGAGCACTCAAATACTACAAATTTGGTGATTTCTAACTCAAATTTGAACAACCCTTGTATCAATTGCTAACTTTTAGAGAGAGAAAGCTGCAGACAAGTCATTTTTAGAGACACATTGGTTAATCAATCCAAGTAAAACAACTAACACCCAAAACTTGATAAATATATAAAAACAAAATTTGAAGAAAATAACAAGATAGGTAATTTGCAAAATCCAAATAATTCAAAAACACTACTCTCAACTTATAAAAAAATTATATTCATAACTATAAAATTAATATCACTTCAAGAAGTAGAGACTTACCAAGGCATTTAACTCTCCAACTTATAAATTTGAAATAAACAACAGACACGTAAGATTAAATAACCAAATATATATTTAAAAAATGGTACAATAAATTTGGAATGGATCAGAATATTGGCTTGAATTTCTCCATGAATGGAGAAATTTTATTAGCACAGTTATATCACCTTCGATCATCTGGGGAAATAGTCCTCACATCCATTAAATCAAAAATAAATAAATAAAATATTTATTCAATTATACAGAGTAATTTATTTCAAATACAAAAAATAATATATCCAGTAATTTCCAGAAAAAAAAATAAAAAAAAAAATAATTAAATGATGGATCAGAATATTTGGCTTGGATATTCTCCACAAGGGAGAAAATACAAAAAAGCGCTCAGTAATTTCAGCTTCGAATCATCTGGGGAAAAATTCATCACCTCCATCTTACTACTTCTAATTAATATTTCACACTTCAATTAAAAAAAAACACATTATTTTAATTACAAAAAAAACTAAATTTTAACCAAAAAAAATTAATTTTTCTAGAGAGAAAGGATCAGAATATTGGCTTGAATCTCTCCATAAAAGGAGAGATTTTAGTAGCACAGTTATATCAACTTCGATCATCTGGGGAAATAGTCCTCATATCCATTTCAATTTAACCAATTCAAACAAAATCAAAAAAAAAAAATACTAATTTTCTCCAAAATAAAATTAAAATCGAATAAAAAATAATAATAGAGAAGGATCAGAAATTTGGCTTGGATTTTCTCCGCAATAAAGGGAGAAAAACAAAAATTGCGCTCAGTAATTTCAGCTTCGAATCATCTGGGGAAAAATTCATCACCTCCATCTCCATTAAAATTTAAAACAAAATTAATTTGAAAAAAAAAAAGAGAGAAATTTCACCAATTCTGTTAAGAGCAAATCCTCGAGAGAAACGAAGATCTGATTGAAAGGCAGAAACAAGGAGTAAGAAGTTTCGCGTCGGCTCATACGCAACGCCCATTTGCAATTAGGAGCGCCGGTAATCAGTTTTATCGACGCAGATTTTTCATTCTTGCGATTGAATTGAAATCAACAGAAAATCTGATTAGCGAAGAAATTGTGAAATTGAAAGAAAAAAAGGGGAGAAATTGGAATTAGGGTTTCGATTGGGAGAGGGAACTTGGGGGAGCGGCGGTGAATTGATGATATGAGAATGGAGGAGGTGGGTGTGTTATATATAGGCGTGAATGAGAGGTGGCGGAGCAGCTAGGGCTTTACGGAAAACCTAATTTCAGGATTGGGGTTTTTTTACTACGCCTCTAAATTCTCTTGTTAAATGTTAACAATGATTTTCCGAATCTTGAAATTTCGAATATTAATATTTTTTTAAGGAGTAATTTGACTCAGCCCCTTCAAATCTATTTATTGCTAGATATGAACCCATAATTTTCTTTTTCATTTTCAAAAACCCCTCATAAATCATATTTCTAAAATATCCCTTCTAGTTTCATTATGATTTTTTTTTAAACTCTTTTTATATTTTATATTTTTATTTTTTATTTTTTATATTTTATTATTTCTATTTTTCTTTTTTCCGTTGGCGGGTGGCTGAATCACTGATCATCTGACCACTTTTGGCGGGTGGCTAACTTCAAACTTCTTTTTATTTTTTAATTTTGTGGGTCGCTGGAGCTCCAATCAACTGAGTTCTGGTCGGCTAACTTCCATCAAGTCAACTAAATCAAATTAGCTTAATCAAGTTTAGTACATCAAGTCAATTTAATCAAAGCTCCGGCGACTCGTTACCGCTGCTGAAATAGTCAGCAACAAATGAAAGTCAGCTAGCTAAATCAATTCAACTAATCGAAAGTCAACTAATTCAAGTCGGCTAATCAAGTCAATTAATCGGAGCAAATTCAAGTCAGCTAATTAAATCAATTAATCAGAGCTCTAACAACCCCAAAAAATAATTTTGCGCAGAGCGCTTACTATCTTGGGCCGGCCCACGCCCTCATCTCGCCCTTTCTTCTTTTTTGTTCGATTCACCAAGTTTCTTACGTATGAGTTGTAGGGGTGAGCAAAAAAACCGAACCGAAAACCGAAAAAACCGAGCCGATATGTACCGTCCCGACTTAAAACCGCATACACGGTAAATTTTTTTTGAAAAACCGAAATTATCGGTTTGTGTATGGAGAATTTAAAAATTACCGAACCGATTTCCCGAACCGAACCGATTTATACAAAATGATGTATTTTTTATATATATTATAAATACTTACCCTAGCGTGCCTCTATCTTTCGAGCGCCTCCATGTGACATCGTTTTTTATTAATTAATTTTGGTTGTGACGTGTTTTTTATTAGTTAATTTTCGGTTGTTATTTGTTAATTTTCTCAAATAAATATAATGAAAGTCCAAATATATGGGTTTTATGCCGAACCGGTTCGAACAAATAGACGAAATCGAAACCGAAAATAAACCGAATTGATACCGAAACCGTTAACCGAAAACCGAAAAACCGATTCACACCGAACCGAAAAAAACCGACATATTCGGTTTTTAAAATATGAAAAACCGATATTATCGGTACGTGTTTGGTTTATTGGAAAAACCGAGCCGTACCGACCCGTGCACACCCCTAATGAGTTGAATAAGCAAGCAATTCAAGAGTATTGTCTCATGGCAACCCAAGGGTGGTGTAGACCATAAAATTAATTAATTGGTTAATTAAATTAGCCAATTAAATTGTGTCTAAATTAAATTATAATTTATCTTGCAAAATAAGTTATGGAGATAATTATCAATTAATTATTGGCCAATAGGGTTATTTCTTGTCTTCCAAGTTATAAGAGATAAATATCAATTTAAATAGAGACAATCGCGCCACGTCATCAAGAAGACTTTATGTAGGACTCTTATTCTACCACTATAAATAGGAGTTAATTGCAAATACCACCCTTGTGAAATCTCTAATTGTCAAATACCCCCTATCAAAAAATAATTCAAACACCCCCCTGAGGTATGGTCAAATTACAAAAACCCCCCTCTTGTTTGGATAATTACATCTACCCCCTCAACTATGATTTTTTCTTACACCTCCACCCTTATGGTGCCAAATTCAACATAATCATCTAGATTCCGTGAAATGTGCTCTAGTGTGTACTCGTTTTGTGTAAAAATACAGTTTCCGATGCACCACAAACTGATATATACAAGCTAACAATCACATATTATGATCATCTTGCTTCATAATGTAGAGTTTGAATGGGATAAAATGGGTACAAAAGTGATAATATTCTATATAATCTCGAAGATTCCACTAAATTTGAGGAGTTGAGGGGGTGGTTGTAATTACCCAAACAAGAGGGGTGTTTTTGTAATTTGATCATACCTCAGGGGGGTGTTTGTAATTTACCCTATTGATATGTAATACAAATAAGTAAAAAATATTAAAAAAAAGATAACTAATTTGTATTGTGTAAGTGATGAAATAAGCCAAAATAAATGAAAAATCTAAACATCGAAGCTTTTAATTTCCACATACAAAGAGCGAATATAGTTGGTCCCAAGTTTAACAACCATAATGATATATGAACGTTCAAATCTTGAATTTGATCCAAACAATCAGTGTTATTTTGTTTGATACCAACCGCCCTAAACGCATGCAACAAATCCAATACAATGAAACTCGCCTACATATGTTGTACAATGGTCATACGAAATATGTAAATTGTTACCAAAACAATACCAATATAACTGTTTAATGACATAAAATTATTGTAAAAAAATTACCTTCATGAAATATAGTGAGCGGAGTCCATACCAAATTCGTAGTACAACTAAAATAAACCTATAAATGAGGAATAACAAAACATATAAATAATAGATAATAAAGGTCACCATTGAGTATTGTAATTTTTTTATATATATAAAATTACATTCATATACGCTGAAAAACTTCCTTGTATATACAACATTATTTGTAATGTTGGTCGTATCACCAGATTCCGAGTTAATCAAAATCTTTATGCCACTTCGACTCTTAACTCTCGAGAGTACGACATAGAGCTGTCCGTGACTGAAAACAGGTCTCGGCAAGTACACGCCTACATGAGAAATAATTTGTCCTTGACTTTTATTGATTGTCATTGCGAATGATACCATTAGCGGAAACTGACGTCCCTGGAATTTAATAGGCAATGCATAGTTGGACGGTACCAAAGTCATTCTAGGAATGTACACCGAATCACCAACATGTTTACCGGAGGGGATCATGCAGTTGAGAACGTGTTTTCCCATATTAATAACATGAAGCCTTGTTCCATTGCACAATCCTCTAGCCTGATCAATATTTCTGATGAGCATAACGGGAACACCTCTTTTCAATGTCAGCTTATACGGTGGAATTCCGAAGCATGATATGGTGTTGGGAATTTCCGGGGTGAATATTTCTGCGTTGACATCCGATATTTAACTCTTTCTTGCACATACTATCGGAGCTGAAATAGACCTTCTCCTCTCATGTTATGATCGATAAAAAATGATCGTTCACAAAACCGACACTTTCATTAGTGGGTGCAAGAATTGCTCGGCCTTCGAAATACTCGGGAATAAACAGGTTGGTCACCAAATCGGGATAAACAAACTCGATAAGATCCAAAAAGGGATCTGCAGAATTACGAATCAGCATGTCATCGGGAATTTCAATTGTGGCATCACCGTCATTTACCTCGCCAGCATCGCCATTGCCGATATTAATATCTAGTCCGCAAATTCTCTTATTTCATCTGCATTGGCGGAAGAGGAGGACGACTGAAGTCTCATGTTCTTGTTCAACTTCATAACCTTACATTGTATACACAACGGTGATAAATTGATTGTAGCATGAACATTGTCTTGTCTCAACGCTTTCAACACAACTGGCAGAATTTGCCGACAATCCTCCAAGAACTACAACCTTGCCTCCGAATGACATATCTAAATCAAGTATAGATTTTATTGTTTTGTCAAGTGCGTCGAAACAGTACTTGTACAAATCTCGAATGCGCAGTTCTGCCACGGGGAAGTAGAAGCAAAGCAATACCGCTGGAAGCAACATCTATAATTATTTCCCCTTTTGAACGGATAGCAGCCGATAAACTTTTCCATATGAAAGTCTTCCCCATTCCTCCATGCCCACAAAGAAAAAACAGTCCATCTTTACATTTGTAACAGCATCCATGATATCATCGAAACCGTTTTTCTATTCATCAGTAATGGATGAAATGTATTTCTTAAGTTCTTCATGCATCGCATCAACGTCATAGTCCAACTCGTCGAGAACCAATCTATTTGACGTGGCGTCCGTCATCGACCCAATTGGAATCGACATTGGGGGAAAGTTACTCAAGCTTTTGGTGTTGCTTTGTAATATGTTTTCTATTTCGATCAAAACTTAGTTTCTCGTATTATCGTCGGACACATGTGGACCTTCAATATAGTATAATATGAAAAATCAACAAAATGCGGCGATTATAAAAATATATACTTTTAATTCAATCTTTTGTAGTAAATTGTGGAAAAATGTAAAATGTATTGTCATACTTGAATTGGTACGACGTTGTTGTAGTTTGTAAGCAATGTCCTCTACGAATTCCTTCCAGCAACACTCCCACACATATTTTGGTCTGCTCATATTATTTGCGACCAAAAGTACGACGAATAATCGTCTCACATAGTTACCACTGGCCCACTCGTTTGCCTCATTTATGCCAGCTATGTACTATTTGTCGTCGTCTAGCAGTCCCAGCGCAAAGCCCACATCTTTGAAAGTTGGGTAGACGCGATCCTTGATTTTCCTAAGATCATCGTAACACGTGCAACCTCTTTGAAAGTTCAGCAACAGTCTCAAGTAATAGTCTTCACCCCTGCCCGGCGGTACATTAGTAATAACCCTTCCTATCGAGAATCCTATCTTTCTTATAGATTTTTTTTCTTCTTAACTCTCCATACCTCAAATTTCTAGCTTCATGGTACAACTTATTCACATAGAATCAAGTAAGGAACAACGTTTGCTTCGCAGTCGGTCTGTTCCGCACATCAACTAATGAGTCACTATTCGTAAACAAAACAGTCTGACTGTCCGGAATATGAAAGTTTAACCTAATCACCGGTTGATCTCTAAAGTGAATGTCAAAGCTAAATAACCTCCAAGCAGCCTCGCATTCCGAAAGATATCTGCAGTCGTAGTATATCTTTATCTTATCGCAACTTTCGGGAGTTGCATCTGGATTATTTGATTGATAAAATGCCGCTGTGACCCGATTGTGTCCTTTGTTGACGTACTTGAATAAGTACTTTATCAACTGAAATTTTTACATTTTAAACTTATTTTATAAAAATTGTATGCAAATCTTTTCAATGATTGATGTGAGAATATTTATACTATTATAAGAGTAGACAATGTGTAAAATATATAATATATTATATTATTAAATTATAAATTAATGCTTACATGCTCTAATGCGGCCAAATATTTTGCCTTCTTCAAATCTGACATCAGAACTGTCGAGCTTCATCTTAAAAACTCTAGCAAGAATATCGGGACGGTCTTCACCCGTGCGTTGCACGGAGGTCAGTTTCAATTAGTGATGCACATTAGTCAAACTACAATCCAAATTATAAATATTGTAAAAAAGATAAGATTTATACGCCAGTATCATGACATACTGATTTGTTAAACATGAAAGGAAGAACACCACATATTACTAATACTAATTTTAGTACTAATACTAATAATAATACTAACACGAATAATACTAATACAAATACTAATATTAATCATAATCCTAATCCAAATCTTAATGCTAATTATAATCCAAATTCTAATACTAATCATAATCCTAACACTATTATTATTATTATTATTATTATTATTATTATTATTATTATTATTATTATCATTATTATTATTATTATTATTATTATTATTATTATTATTATTATTATTATTATTATTATTATTATTATTATTATTATTATTATTATTATTATTATTATTATTATTATTATATATTGAATTTTTTGTTTAAAATTGAAAAACTATTAAAAAAATCTTAAAACACTAATATGATTTACTAATTGCAATAAAGCCCCAGGGCATTCTCGTCTTTTTATGCTTGGTCAAAGATTAAAATGACAATAGATGCAGTGTGCTTCAAAACATGTTTCACAAGGGGATATGTGTGAATTTGTTTTTTGACAAGGTGGTATTTGACAATTAGAGGTTTCACAGGGGTGGTATTTGCAATTAACCCCTATAAATAGGGACCATTTCTACACAATTCAAGACACAACTCAAGAAGAAGAAAAACCGTAGGAGAAAATTCTCTCTACAATACTCAAGTCGTTCTTCATCAAATTCAAGGCGTTCTTCATCAAATCGAGGGCGTTCTTCAACAAATCAAGATCGAAGGAAGATTGAAGGGCCAAATCCATCAAGAACTCCAAGATCTTCAAGTCAAAGCTCGTCAAAGTTCAACGTTCGATCCGAGATTCAAGTCGCAAGACCCTCGGAAGACGTTATTCAAATCCAAATCAAATCTAGAGTAGATCAAGTCAACTACCCGACTCCGAAATTCAAAAGTCAACATATATTGTTCTTGAGAGAAGAATCAGAGGATTAAATTAGAGTTTGTAACCTGCAATATTTTATTTTAATTCAATAAATTTTATTTGTGCAAGTATTTTTTGTTTGTTTAAATCACAGATAAGATTTTGTTGCTAGAAATTTTGGCACGCCCGGTGGGACATCTATACCTCTCATCTCTTGTCTCTCTCGAAGATCCTCAAAGTGTTGCAGTGACTGCTCCACGTTCGCAATGATGACTGCTACTTCGGATTCATCAAGTGTGGGCTTAGTTACAAGGAGTATGGCTAAGAAACTGCAAGCATCCTCCAAGACTAGCTCGACGCGCCCCAAACCGTTCAGAAAGGCTTACCACCTCTTGTCAACACAAGCGCAGACATGGAAGGCTCAAAACGAGCGATTTCACAGCCCACGCCTCATTCAACATCAAGCTACTCAGAGATGGTATCCGCCATGACAACAAACGCTACAACTATGGAAGAGCAAATTGCAAGTTTGGCCAAGGCTATTGAGGGACTCAGAAAGCATGTTCAACAACGAGATTCTCAAATTGCCAAGTTGATCGACAAGATGGACAAAGCCAATGCTAGTCAAGTTGTGGATCAGATAGACGCTGCGACATCCACAAAGCAACAATCAGTTGAAAACGAGAAGGCTCCAACTAGAGAACTTCAAGTTTTTTCCGAAGGGCTGATTCATGTAGATCAAGTGATGATGCTGATCAGTGAAACCATCAAAGACAAGTTAGAAGGAAGCTCTAAGTCGCCGTCAACCTATGTCAAGCCCTACACGCCAAGTATTTATGATCTAAAGATGCCAATGGGCTACATACCTCCACAGTTTTAAAAATTTGACGGCAAAGGCAACCCCAAGCAATGTGTGGCACACTTCGTGGAGACTTCCAATGACGCCGGAACGTACGGAGATCACCTCGTCAAGAAATTCGTCCGATCGCTCAAAGATAACGCGTTTGATTGGTACATCGATTTGGGGGCAAACTCCATTGATAGTTGGAAACACTTAAATGAAGAATTTCTCAACCGCTTTTACAACACTCGAAGAACTGTCAGCATGATTGAGCTCACCAATTCCCGTCAATGGAAGAAAGAACATGTCATCGACTACATCAACCGTTGGAGAAATTTGAGTCTTAATTGCAAGGATCGACTGCTTGAGACATCAACTATTGAACTGTGCATCCAAGGAATGCAATAGGGACTCCGATATATCCTTCAAGGAATTCAACCTAGAAGTTTTGAAGAGTTGGCCACTCGAGCACATGATATGGAATTGAGCATAATTGCAAATGAAGGTGAAGAACCTTCAATCCAAAAGTCGCACCAGCTCAATGAAGAACATGTCGAAGAAGAACAAGAAGATCATGATGATGGGGGCAAGTCTTTTTCTGAAGAAACAACACCCTATGCAATATGACAAGTCAAATCAAGTTAAACTCTCCATGACTCGAGTATAAAATGTTTACATGTCCATATCAAATGAATCACTCATTAACATGAGTTTAAAATGTCTACATGTCCAAATCAAATAAAGCACTCCTTGATACGAGTTTAAAAGGTCTACATGTCCAAATCAAATAAAACACTCATTGAGACGAATTTAAAAGGTCTACATGACCAAATCAAATGAAGCACTCCGTGACACGAGTTTAAAAGGTCTACATGTCCAAATGAAGTACTCCTTGACACGAGTTTAAAATGTCTACATGTCGGAATCAAATGAAACACTCCTTGACACGAGTTTAAAAGGTCTACAAGTCCAAATCAAATGAAGTACTCCTTGATACGAGTTTAAAAGGTCTACATCCCCAAGTTCAAGTCAACACTCCTTGACACGAGTTTAAAAGGTCTACATGTCCAAATCAAATGAAGCACTCCTTGACACGAGCTTAAAAGGTCTACATGTCCAAATGAAGCACTCCTTGACACGAGTTTAAAAGGTCTATAAGTCCAAATCAACTGAAGTACTCCTTGACACGAGCTTAAAAGGCCTGTTGGAAATTTTGAGTATTTGACTCAAATTTTGTTGAATATTTAAGTGGTTTAATTTAAATTCTCAAAATTAATTTTTGATGAATGATAAATTAATGGATCATTTAAAATATTTAAGTGTGGAAAATAATAAAGTGAAATATCACCATTGAAAAAGATGGAGGTGTTTAAGCACCTATTAAATTGAATAGGTGTGTGGTTAATGGGAAAAGGTGTGATACCTTTTCATGAAATTATTTTTCTAAGAGTTGTGACTTGTGGTCATAACCTTTGAAAATCTATAAATAGATTCCAAAATCCACCATTTGAAATAGTTCATTATTCACATGGAATTCAATACATTAATTGAATTCACTTCTCGTCATAACATATCATTGCATATTGTTGCATTACCAAGTCCTTTCTTCGTGTCTTATAAAGTCCTAAACGTCGTTTCGTTCGCCGTGTTCCAATAATTGTTGTGCTGCTTTGTTGGAACTGAAATAGTCGTTGTATCTTGGGAGACAATTGCCGTAAACCGAGAGCACTG